CTGCAGGCCGGTCCGTTCGGTGTGATCAAATAGTGCTTGCAGCATTTTGATCGCACCGGACCGGACCTAACAACAGAGGGAGGGTTCTCTATGTCTGTGGCAAGGGAACCTTCTGCCTCTCCCGACACCACTCCCCACCAAAGTCTATGGCTCTACAAACCACAGGGCCATCCTTATTTCTGGTCTTTTTGCTCTTCCTCTCTTTAGAGACCAGCTTGTGAATGGTACAATACCACAACTGCATGGTGGGTGTAATGTAATCCCAATAAGAGTCCAATAATCCACTTTTCATCATCTCTCAGGTGCTTCCAGGTGCTATAAGTGAGGCTTCTATTGCACATGCGTAGCAGAGGGCAGATACATTAACAAAAGTTTATAAAGGTTCAGTGGCATTATTTGTAAGAATTAAGGTATATGTAATTAATTATTTGCACTTGCTGGTTACATCTTGCAAAAAGATGTTGGGCACTAAGGTTTCACTTTAAATTAATGCATAGAGCTTAGTGAATTGGTACCTTTGTGGAACAACAAAAGTAATTGCAGAGCAGCTGATGACCCATGTCTAATGTTTGCATCAAAATTCCCCAGGCTCAAAACAAACAACAGTTGTGATAAATAGAGCCCTGTGATCCCCACATGGGCAAACACATGCAAGTGATTCAGAGTGATGTGTGGACACATCATGGAAAAAAGGTCAGTTTTTCTGTTTGCTGCTCAGCCTGTGACATTGCAGACTTCCTCCCTGATGGTGCAGTTTATCAAGACTTCAAAACAGGGAACTGTGAGGCTGCGATCACATCCCAGGGGTTTCTAGTGGTGTAGCCAAGTCAGCCGCCACAAGGAAAACACAGCAAACAAAACCATAAACAGGTCCTTCCATGCTAATCCTTAAAGTGCATTTGTGGCCAGACTATGGACATTAAATTCTTTACATATTCTTACCAAGCAGTAAATGAGCTTTGAAACAAGTCATCCCTGGACTGCTTGTACTGTGATATAATTCATTCTCAAATATTTTATTGTATAGGATAGTTTTTTCAAGCAGATTGCAAGGCAAAACGTCTGCTTTCGAGGACCTGAGAAAGGATCAGAACGTCTGTCAACTAATTAACAAAACAACTCCGGGCATGTGAAAAATGTAACCCTTGCAGTGGGGCTACCACTGAGTTAAGTGCTCATTTTGGTCTACGGTCTAAAAGTAAAAAAGATATACTCAGAGGTCTAAGGATCCATGGCCTCATCACTTCTATTGACTTGCAATGGACGTGAGGATGCCGAGTGGTCACTGCTGCAGGACCAAGTGAGTATTTCTTCTTTATTTTAGACCTTAGACCAAAACGAGGACATAACCAGTAGGGGGGTTGTCCCACTGCAAGGGTTAATTTTGTACATGCCCAGAGTTTTTCTTGAAATCCTGGATTATATAAATGTCTTGTTTTAGGTGTCCAACATTAGCAGTGACTCTCTCCTTTGGTAAGACTGCTCACACACAGATAACAAACTACTCAAATTGGTAAAACAATACATTTTAAGGCTGGGTTTACACCTAGGCGTTCTAAATACGAGCGTTTTATGCTCGTTATTCAGCACATTTTTTGTTCACTAAAACGCGCGGTCGACGCTTGTTTTTTAACCTCCCTGGCGGTATGATTTTTTTTCCCTTTTTTCTCTATCTTTTTTTCATTTAAAAAAAAAAAACTTTTTAAACTTCCTGCCAGCCCCCCCCTGTGACGCGGACGCTCGCAAGGGACGGAACCCGGAAGACGGCAGCGGCCTGAGGACACAGCGGGGATCACGGCAAGCTAAGACCTACGCTGTATTCCAGAGTGTGGCTTGGGGTTACCGATTTAACCCCGAGCCACACTTGGGAACAACAATGGATACGGACTGCAATTGGCCCCTACGCGCGCAAAAGAAGCTCAAGTACTTTTCCGCTTTTTTTAGGGCGTTTTTCAGCATGACAAATCGCGCTGAAATACGCCTAGTTGGGATCCATGCCCATATGGATTCATAGGATTTCACTTAGAGCGTTTTTCAGCGCTTCGATCAGCGCTGAAAAACGCCCAGGTGTGAATCCAGCCTAAAGATTAGTTTGGAACTTTCCTCCTGCTAGTTTGAGGTCATGTTCCTGATCCCAACTTCATATTGAACATACTGCCCTCCTGAACCTTATTCCCTCCCTTGATGTATTTAAAAGGTTTTACTCATATCCTCCACTTCCATTCTTTTATAAAGGCTGCATCAAAGTTCTTACATTCTCTCCTGATATGTTTTTATTCCTTACAGATTCCCCAATTTTTGTTGCCTGTCTCTGGTTTTGTTCTACCTTATCAATGTCTTTTTGTAAGCGAGGTCTTCAGAACTGGACACATCATTCTAAAAAAGGTCTAACTAAAGATCCCCTTCCTGGTGATCCCTCTAGTGGTAACTAAAGATCTATATAGTGGAATCAGAAACTCCTTCCTCCTGCTGGAGATCCCTCTAGTGATAACTACAGATCTATAGAGAGGAATCAGGACCTCCTTCCTCTTGCTGGAGAGCCCTCTAATGATAACTAAAAGATCTATATAGAGGAAACAGGACCTCCTTCCTCCTTCAGGTGATCACTTTAGTGATAACTAAAGATCTATATAGAGGATTAAAAACCTTCCTCCTTCTGGTGATCCTCCAGTGGTAACTAAAGATCTATATAGGGTAATCAGGACCTTCTTCCTCCTTCTGTTGATCCCTCCCGTGAAGCACACCATAATTCTATTTGCTTTCTCCACTGCCAGGCTGCACTGTTTGCTCATTTTGCAATCTTTTCAAATGAGTACCCCTGAATCTTTTTCCACTGTAGTTCTGACCAAGACTGTACCACTAATATTGTGCTCTATCAGAGGATCCTTTTTCACTAAGTGCATTATTTTGCATTTGGAAAAGTTGAAATTAAGTTTCCACTGCTGCTTTGACCATTCTTCCAGCAATGCCAACAAACACCTCCGGAAATATCAACCCTATTGCACACCTTTGTGTCATCAGCAACAAAAAAAAAACCTTTGGTTTGATCAAAGCCCTCCTTTCAAATATAGTAGTGGCAGATCTAATCTTCACTGCACTGCACAGAAATGATATAGCAATCTGTTTCTCCAGGTGGCCCTGATGGTGAGGATTTGGAAAGCACTGGTTTGATGTATCTATGTGACTATTATGTTTGCCTGAAGAAGGAGCCACTCGGTTCCGAAACGTCGCTATAAATGTGACACTATCCCAGTCAATAAAAAGGTATTGAATTTGCATCAAGTTGGAGTGCGAGTGACCATTTATCGATTTTGTACTATTGGCGGAGGCATCTGCGGTCGCATCGGCACCCGCCCGGGTTTTGGGTTTGTTTCCGGTCAGGAGTGCGGTGGGATATACCTTGGTATTATTTTGGCTGGACACATGCTAATTCAATCAATAAATCAAAAGAACAGATCAGAGCAACCTATCACCAACAGTATATATATATACACTAATATTTTTAAGAAATGGAACTCTAGGCAGATATTAAAAACACCAATTCATGTATGTATGTATGCATTCTTTAAAACAAAATAAATGCATGTAATGTAATTATAACTACTGTAGATATCCGAATTGAATTTGGTATCTGCCTTTTGCAAACTCCTATACAGAAACACTTTGATAAAAGAGGGAAAGGGTGGCACTAGGAACTAATGGGATGTGCTGCAGTGCATATGAGCTGGCAAGAAACATTCTGAAAGGAGGATAGAACAGAGTGACTTATCACTGTACTTTTGTTCTGTCTTCACTGTCCAGTCACAGGGTCTGGGTGGAAATGTGACAGGGTTGTTTTGCTTAACAGGAGCAGAGAAAAGTCAAGCCACCATTCTGGCTTTGCTGTGTGGTGGGGCTGTGTATTTTTTACTTTAGACAGATATAAAAATCCTTTCACAGCTAAAACGACTTCCATATACAGTATGTATTTCAGTTGCACATTTAGCCATCTGCCTGGAAATTCAGCCTTAATCAATTTTGCGATTGTAAGCTGGATGGAATTGCATAACAAAGTTCAGCCAGCTTGCTAATAAATAAGATTTTAAAAATGCCTCCCCCCCTAAATAATCCAAACTCTGAGGCCTTGTTCACACCCAAAGCGTGTGCGTTCCAGAGCGGGTAGCTGCTGGAATGCACTGCGATTGCTGTGAAACTTCCCCCCGCGCTTTTGGGCAGGACGTGGCGTGGCGGTGCATTGAATTCAATGGCACCACTTCCACGACCCCCCGCAGTGCGATCGAACGCGCGGTAAAACTTTGCCACCGTTGCGTTCCACTGCAAATGCAAAAAATAGGGCTTGCGGGCGGGTTGGGCGTGGAAGCGGTGCCATTGAATTCAATGCACCGCCACGCCCCCTCCCGCCCCAAAACACGGGGTGAAGTTTCACAGCGATCGCAGTGCGTTCCAGCAGCTACTGCTCTGGAACGCACACGCTTTCAGTGTGAACAAGCCCTTACACATCTTCCAGCTTTGTCTAGGTGCAGATTCCCAAATGTTGGAAACCATTCCTCATTAGCCAGAGAGTTATTGCTAAAAGTGGAAACCCCCTTTAAGTTTGCTTCACTTTATTTTCTCTGTTGTGCATTAAAAAAAAAAAGATAACTTAATTCACACAAAAAAATGACAACGATTACAAATAATATGCTTATATTTGATATAAAACATGTCTTTCAAAGTAAAATTCTAAAGGCATTTTGAGATCTATACACAAAAGCACCAAAAGATACTGAAAGAACAAAAAAAACATAAAACAAAAAACAAATTAGTGCAAAATGTTTAAAAAAATTATTGTACTCCTATCAAACACTGCATTTTCACCGGCCAGAGACCGAGTAACACATAACAATTTGCAGTTAGTATAACTGAACATAAACAGAATAAGCCAATTTGGAAAAATAAGGAGAAACTGATTAACAGTTTAAAAAAAAAAACTTGACATTTTGCAAATCATTTCTGATGCATTTTCAAAAGGCAGTCATTTTAATTCTAGACTTGGATAATTCATGTACATGACAGACGGATAATCCACAATGCTTGTCATAAGCAAGTTTTATAGCACACAGCTAATAATATTAATAATGATATTATATTCCTCTAATAGACCGGACAGTAGGTTGCTAAAATGTGCTTCTTGGATGCCGAACACATATGATCGGCGCTATTAGTTAACAGCCATTCTCTAGAGTCAGAAAAAATGCCTAAGGCACCGGTATTCCAAAAGAAACGAAATTAAAATAGAATAAATCAGATTTTCGTCTTCATCCCTGAATGAGTTTATACACTTTTGCTGACGTACGTCGAAGAGCGCCCACGATGATGAACCGACACTGAACGCAAAGTTTGGCAATAGGATGGCAGCTAGAAGGAAATAAAAATAATACTTCTAAATCACAAGTCACTGCTGCTTGCATCCTTCCTTCTTGTCTTTGGGTTTATTGCGTCCCACTTTCTCTGCTTGCCTCTTTGTCGGTGGTATAAATATTGGATCGGTGCCATCGTCCATTAAGTCGTACAATCCATCTACCGGGACGGGTTGAGTCTGTGCCGAAACGGGAAATTCTGTAGATACAATGTAGACGGTGTTTTTTTTCATTAAAAGGATCATTACATCAAAAAGATTCACTAATATGTTATTTACAAAAATATGCTGGAGTGTACAGTAGTGTTAATTTCATCGACAAAATATTTTCGGGTTTTTTTCAGCATTTCCGTGACGAAAACGAAACGAAATACTAGGGCAGGTAACGGGATTAAAACGAAACGAATATTCTGAGAATTTTCATTGATGAACGAAAATGAAATGAAAGTTCTCAAAACGAAACGAAAATTAGTTCCCAGACTTGTGCATTTGGCTTCTGGTTCCCTGAGCACTTCCTGTAGTAGGGACAAGTGAACAACTGCATAATAACGGTCTTTAATTTTCGTCAACTAAAACGAGACTGCAAATAAAAATTAATCTGATGACTAAAATGTCACTAAAAATAAAAATGAATTTTCGTCAAAAGACTAAGACTAAAATGAAATTTGGTGTCAAAATTAACACTGGTGTACAAAGGGGGAATATGAGGGAGAACGGGGGGCATGTTGATACTGACAGACAGGCAAAAGCACCAGTAAATACTAGACAGTCAAAGAATAAATAGATATTGAGTCGAGTGGAGTACAGAAAAGTGGTGTGCAGTGGAAAAGAGTAGAGTATAAGGGAGTAGAGTACAGTAGGGCAAAGGGAAGTGGAGTACAAAAGAGTAGTGTGGAGTACAGTATTATAGAAGGTAGGGTAGTGTGGAGTGGAGTACAGCAGGGTGGTGGGAAGTGGTGTACAGTAGTAGAGGGGACTGGAGTACATTAGAGTAGTGTAGTATAGTAGGGTAGTGGGAAATGGCGTACAGTAGGGTGGGGGGTGGTGGAATATAGTAGGGCAGTGGGAAATGGAGTACATTAGGGTAGTGGGGAATGGAGTATAGTAGGGTAGTGGGGAATGGAGTACAGTAGGGTGGAGGGAAGTTTAATATAGTAGGGTAGTGGGAAATCAAGTACAGGAGGGGAATAGGGTACAGAAGGGCAATGGGGAGTAGGAAACAGTAGGGTAGGGGGGAGTGGAATACAGTAGAGAAGTGCAGTACAGTAGAGTGGAGGGGAGTGGAATACACCAGGATAGTGAGAAATGGAGTACATTAGAGTAGTGTTGCATGGAGTACAGTAGGGTAGAGGGGAGTCAGGCACAGTAGAGTAGTGTGGCATACCATAGGGTAGTAGGGGTTGGAGTACAGTTAGGTGGTGTGAAATATATTACAGTAGGGTATTGTAGAGTGAAGTATAGGGATGCACAGATACTGTTGTTTTCCGGTACGGAGTACCGATATTTATATTTCGGTACTCACCGATACAGAGCACCGATATTGGTTCTTCCGGTAGCATGGAGCCGGCTTCCCGGGCAATCAGGGAGCCGGCCAGCGTGTCATTAACCGTTGCCCGGCAAGCCAGCTCCATGTTGTTTGGCCGGCTCGAGGAAATACTTGGTATTGGCACCGATACTAGTATTGGTATCGGTGCATCCCTACTGGAGCACATTATGGTGGTGGAGAATGGAGTGCAGTTGTGTTGAGTGGAGTACAGAAGGGTGATGGGGAGTGGAGTACAGCAGGACAGTGTGGAGTGCAGTAGGCTAGAAGTGGTGTACAGTAGGGTAATGGAGAATAGGGAGTGGGGAACGGAGTACCATAGAGCAGTGGGGAGTACAGTAAGTAGTACAACAGATTACATAGACAGAGCATGTTTATATGAGAAAAAGACATGAAAAAAGAGATGGATAGTAATGTATGAGGTAAACTAAAGAGACACATACTGTATACCATCCATACTTCTTTAAGTGTCACCGTGAAAAAGGGTGCATTGTACAGAACACAGATATAGAGTTTGTACTGTGGGGTACAGTCTGATAAGAGCCAACAAGTTGGATTCAAGCTTAAGAGATCATATCAGGACTATGGACAGCGTTCTGGAACATTCCAGAAGACAATTATCTAGAGAGGGAAGTAAAACATGTAGACTGGGCACTACACACATGAACATCATGAGCAATGCGATTATGCACCTTCAGAGCAGACAGTGAATACTTCTGGGTGGGACTCCTTCTTAGATTTGAACGTTGGATCGAGTTCCTCTGCGATATTCCTGGGAGAGCTCAGCCTGTAAAGGAGGATGAATAGTATGAATGATACAGTCTATGACCTTGAAGTCCTTTATCAAAAGACAAGCCTAGACAAACCTTCCAAATGTTAGGCGACGGCAACAATGCCGCTTTGATCTGACAACAAATCTCACCCGTCACCTCAACAACTTCTCTCCAAACTATCCTAATGAATACACTGAAGAAACTTCTGCATGGACTTTGTGCAGAGTGACTGCAGCATAACCATGTATGACCTTCACCAATGTTATCTTATATTTATATGATGTCATTTTGGATCAGTCCAAGCCCTGATGTAAGGGGAGCTCTTGAACCTCTGAAACTTGCTGGCTAAATAAACAGATCTTGTGTGAGCTTTTTTTTTTTACTTCCAAAATCCCAGTTCTGTCTTTACCTTTCTATCCTGATTTTTATTTCCGTCTGTCTCTCTGTTGCAAATTTTCCCACACTTCCTGTCTGGTAACGTATAAAGAAAGTGAAGGAAAATCTCTCTAATGGAGACCCAGATAGCAGTAAAAACAAAACCAGACAAGGGGTTCTAACCCTTACCTACTGTATCCAAAACTAAAAAATAAACATTTTTAGCTTGACTTGCACTTTAAATCAGAATGTTTATATTCAGTGAAGAATCCTTGGTGCCTGTCTAATCTCTGGGTAATAACAGAGGCAAGAAATATGTCATCCAATGATAGTTTCCGCTAGTATAAAGCCATACACGTTTATTTTGTTCTTGTTCCGCAGAATTCCCCTCATCCGCGCTGTCTAGTGTGAACGGGGGAATTCTGCGGAGCAAAAATAGATCTCCCCTGAGAGCTATTGTATACAAGCAGCTTCAGGAGCGTGTTTGCTTGAATATCCGATGAGTGACTGCATCTGATTGACTGCAGACCCTGCACTGATATCAATATTCCACCCGGTTCCCTTGATTTGTCAACACAAGGAATGACAGGGCCACCCATGGCCCGAATGCCACCAGGTTCACAGGAATTAGACGAAATTCAAGATGTAGGTGGCCAGCTTTAAGCGGCTGAGGACACAGTACACCAGACTGCGCTCTGGTTCAAATGCGAACACAGATCAGGGAAAGAATACACACACATTAGTGAATGCTTTTAGTGTAGAATGGCAGCCTGCACTGCAACCTGACTTACACTTACAGACCGTAATGAGTACACTTCATTCAAGATTTCCATCGAGCTATACTGGTACGCAGCCCACAATGTGTGGGCGGTGGTTATTTTCAGCAGCCTGATGTCTCAAAAGAAGCAAATTAACCTGCAGCTAAACCAATGTTTAAAATGAGCCACCAGGAACATTATGGGTTAGCAACGGAGAGAAATGTGGTGCAGTGGTAATAGGTTCCATTTCTATGCGGATGGTAGATGGACCTTTGTGGTAAGGTTAGACCTATGGAACAGAGACACAGGCCCTGGTCTAGGGTAGCCAAACGTCAATGTCGCCAAACCTAGCAACAGTGCATTTGTTTCTTGCACACCAAGAACATATACGCAATTTGAAGGGTTTTATCAATTCAAAAGGGTGGCATCCATTCACCCCAAAATATAGTTACGTAGGTTGAAAAAAAAGACACAAGTCACTTGAGTTCAACCAACAGAGGAAATAAAATATATGAATAAATAGAAATGCTTCATAAACAAAAACCCTATTCCCCAGGTTGATCTAGAGGAAGGCAGAAATCCGCTATAAAGCATGGTCTAAGTTCCTCCAACAGGGCGGAAAATCCTTCCCGAATCTCAACTGGTGGGTCTTGACCCAAAAGTGGGTTGCGAGCCTGTGTTCAGTGGGTCGCCGCATGCCTTCCACTTTTTTAGGCGAGAGGCTCTTCTGCCTCCCCCTAGAGCACCACTACCCCTGCATCAAGGCTTAATAAATGGAATGTAGAGTTGAATGGACTCAAACTAGAACACATGGGCTCTTTTTTTTAATGAAGTTGAATGACGAATACTACAAAGTATTTTCAGCTATTTCAATGCTTGGTTTGAGGCCCATTTCTGTATGGCTACACTTTGAGTCACTTCTAGATAACCATCAATGGAGGGGGTCATAGCAACCAATGGCTGCAGAGGATGACTCCTGAGGCCACTAGTTTCAAGGATGCCAGCAGTCCTAGCAACCAAAAACTGAAGAGGAACCTGGTCTGGACATGGACCGATCGCTGACCTGTGTTGGGCTATGGCTTGCAGTGGATGCATCGACCTTGGAGGCTGTCACATCACTGTCAGCCAGCCATAATTGAGCGCAGGTCAGTGATCGGTCCATGTCCGGACTGTGTGCAGACAGGGACAGTTAGAGGGCCGCAGATGGCACGTGGGCCGTAAAATGCCCAGGTCTGTTCTGGTAGCTGCCTTACCAGAACCAGTGTGTGTGAAAACCTCTTTGCGCTTTAACAGCACCTTTAAATCCCAGCCGTCTCAAACATTCTTTCAGGAATTGTTTTTTGGCTTTGATATGAAATTTACATCATTAAATGGATGTGTGTGCTTGTTCTTTATCATATTAAATACCCCTAAACTGACATTTCAGTAGACACTGCTGGGCAGAACCAGTGAACAGTTTCTCCATTGGTGAGATTTCCTTGCTACAGTTTAAGTCTCACATAGGGGAGTTGTTAAGAGGGGAGGTCCAGCCACCACCCCAACAACTCTAAGGTCCATATTACTTTTCAAACATGACCTGCATGTAACAATGTGTTAAGTGACGTTAACCTCAATAACAAGCCCGACTTCAGCCAAAACATTTTGGGGACGCATTAAACTGCTTGAAGGGATTACCCTTCATTTCCTGCCATGGGAAATCTCTCCAATAGGAACACAGACAAATCCACATTTTTAGTAGAGTGCGGAAAGGCTTGAACTTCTGACAATGTTTTTATTACAGTCCGTGTCTTCCAGTCCCAGTGACAATCACTCCCACCCATTTCTTTTACAGGTGTCATAGGGATCAGGAAGTGAAGGAAAACCTCACCAATGGGGACACATAGAAATTTAAACCGAAAAAAAAAATAGGAAAAACATTTTGGCTGGACGTTGGGCTTTAACGTTTCAGGTACTTGGAAGACTGTGAAATCTTACTTGGCCTGGTCGCAACTTGCTTCCACTGTTGACAGCTCCATTTTCTCGGGTGTACGACACTCGGTGGGTGATGCCAGGCCCTCAGAGTCCAAACGTCCTTGGTTATATGAAGGCACTTCATTCTGAGGAAACCAAGATGAGGTCACCTAATCATACCAGCTAACTCAAGCAATACAAATCTTCACAAACCTTGGTCATATCTACTCATTATTCTACAAAGTCCACCCCCTCTGGGGCCTAAAAATGAAATGTCAGGTCATTTTTTTACCCAAGATTTACCTCCTCATGGCAGACAAATTAAGTGTTTGTACTATAACCCCAATAATGGCTGATTCAATCTGATGAAGCCGCTATGCCTACCAGAGTGCAGCATCTTGAGATGGGTTGTGTCTTGAATATAGCTGGGGTTTTACACACCAGAAGCTTTAAGATATTTCGCAGCCAGCCTGAGAAATGCCAGCATTCCAATACCTGAGTATTTGGATCTGCTTGTAATTTATTATTTTTTATTATAAAGAAGTTATATAGAGCCAACAGACAGCACAGCCCTTTACAAAATAAAGGGAAACAGTGCAGTTACAATACAATTAAAGACAAGAGGGTAAGGAGGAGTCCCTGATCATGAGAGTTTACAATCTAAAAGGAAAGGGGCAATCGATGCAAAATTTGGTGCAGCGAGTAGTGTTTAAAGCAGAACTGTAGGTACATTTTATTTTTAAACCTGCACTGCAAGGCTTAAGTGCTGGTATTTGTTTAGCCGAGCAGGCTTGATTTTAGACTGGTCCCTTCCACATTGCTCCCCCTCCACTGCAGCGCTCTATGGTCCCCGAGTCATCACATTGTATATACATACGCCAAGGGACATGCAGCGGAGGAGGAGAGAGGCTGGAGGGATCACTGTCACAGCCGGGCAGCTCTGGGATTGGGTGAGTTTCTTTGCTATTTTTGAACCTAGACAAAAATGAGCACTTAACCCTTGCAGTGTGGGGGTAGCCCCACTGCAAGGGTTAATATATATGTTACCTGGAGTTCTGCTTTAATAGCTGCCTGTGTGCTTCTTGTGTGTAGTCAATGGTGTTCATTATGACCAAGGTTCCCCTTTTATCTGCAGGGTTTATACTAATCTCCTTGTTCTTTTTGACTAACGGTTGTTTGTCCCTTTGCGGATTCTGGTTCTGTACCTGCCTTTCATTTCTCTGCTGAATTTGTCTGAAGCGATCAATATACACAGCCTGTCCAAAAAGCACAAATCAGGGCCAATAGTCCTGGATTGTACGCAAAGATGGCGAGGGCTCACCCAAAACCTGGAGCTTCAAGGAGAGGAGGAGAGCGCTGGAGTGAGGAATAAAGCAAGTAGTACAACTTATCCCTCTATAGGTCTAGACTTAACAAGCATTTAACTCTTAAAGTGCGGGGAGGCCCCAGTGCAAGGATATGTTTACTTTTAGGAGTTCAGCTTTAAGTGTGAGTTTTGAAGCTCTTTGTTGTGAATTAGAATTCTCTGCAGTCTTTTGTAAAGAGATTGTAGTTTATTGTGCATGTTACTGGTGTCATTCTCCAGCAGTCTAGCTGTGCCCTGTATTTCCTCTTTTACTTATGTTCTTTTTCGACTGTAGCAAATTGTGGTCATTTGGTTTTGCAGCTTTTCAGAGCTCCAGGTACACAGATGTTCTACAAATCTGCTGTTGATCGCGTGCAAAGTGGGGTTCTGACTTCTGAGTCCTTGCGGGATTAAACGTTCGTTTTTGCATGTGGTCAAGAAGAAGATGTCGCTGTCCAGATGTGCAAGTTTCTTCAGATGAGTGCGGTGCATTGCTATCATAGTAGACTTAGAGTATTGTGCCATATAAGCCATCAATTAATGCAGAAAGTTTAGAGCCATAGGGCCTGATTTATAAACTAGATGGGAGGCGAGGAGCATAGAAAATTCCAGATTCATTTGAAGAGCTGTTCCTTGTGGTAATGGTTTATCAATCAACCACCGAAATGATACCCTTTATTAGCTAAATTTAGTCATTTGGAATTCCTTAGATCCCTTCTTCAAGCTTTATGCAATTCTGAATATTTATATACAGAGTTACAAGTAGGAGCAATGAAATATAAATAGGGATACAACTGCTTATTGTAAAGGGTAAAGTTGGCCATATAAGAGAACATTTTTTTTTCATTCACCCTGCAGGGGCCAGGGGCCTGTGAATAAACAAGAGGTGGATGTATGACAGAGTCACCTTCCCTCATTCAGAAAAGTCTTTGCATTCTGGGAAAATAATACAAGGCATTTTGAACATGGACGAGGGGACAGGAAGAGGGATGGCGCTATTGCTTCACAGTGGCAGCGGCATTTGTCATTCCTGCAGTGCGTGAAGATCGCAGCTGTGGGGGTAGCCAGCGTCACTGAAGGGGTGTTTTACAGTAACCAGCAGAACATAGGAGATACTTCATTAGAGGGAACTTGTGTGACTAGTGCTATAGCTCCCAAATTTTTTTTATGGAGTTCATGTTTAAGGGTACCGTCACACCAGCAAGTGCTGCTGGTGTGCATGTCCCCAAACAGTGCTGACACGCTTGATTGAGACACACTGTACTGTCTTTTTTTTTATTGGTAGAACTTTATTGAAATGTTTCCAAGAACCACCCGCACTCCAATGATGGGGGTGCTTGTGGTGATCACATGGATGGCGTTGTGAAAACCTCGGCAGGTCCCCGGCACACACAATGATAAGTTCAGATATCAATATTTCTTTGATATGTTTATTTACAGTGTCACAGCACGTCATTAAAAGCTGAAGCAAGCGTTTCGGGATCTCGCAGGGACCCTTCATCAGAGGGACTTAGTGACCTGAAGAGTGTCACAGCATGTCATTAGAAGCTGAAGCCAGCGTTTCGGGACCTCACAGGGACCCTTCATCAGAGCGACATAGTGACGTCACTATGTCACTCTGATGAAGATTCCCTGCGAGGTCCCGAAACGCTAGCTTCAGCTTCTAATGACATGCTGTGACACCCTTCAATAAACATATCAAAGAGACATTGATATCTGAACTCATCTTTGTGTGCGACATGCAGAGATTATCCTTTATTAAAATGTGACATTTCTTCAGTTCTATGGGCTCACTGCAGTGTAATGCAGCTGTATCGTATCTGACTGCATGCTGTACTTTTTCTATGTTGTGAACCGAGCCCCATTCATGACAAGGCAAATTGCCTTGTCTTGCCTTTGGGCTGTGCTGGAACAAACGGCCAGTGCAGCCCAAACAGAGATAGTGTGAACCTGCCCTTAAGCATCGCACACCATGAAAAAGGCAAGTGAAGCTATAACCAGTGTTTACTGGAGTTCTTCTTTAAGCCTCATGGTGATAAAAAGAGGAAATGATCAATTATGCGACGTTTCCCCCATGAACTCAAATGTGCAGGGTTATTTTCAGCTTCCTGCTTTGTATTAGCTGAGCAATGTGGTTACTTATTAACGAGCAAAGGGAACAGACTTTTACAGAAATTGTAACTATAGATCTATAAATGTCCATGCCCAATGCGCGGCTTCAGAGGAAACTGTCTAACGTCTTCTGGTTATTGAGATAAGTCGGGACGCAGAACTGGTGACAGAGCTCAGAAAAACAAAGGGTTAAAGGTATCTGAGGTAAGCAGGCCCTGCAAACTTCGCCAGGTGTTTAAATGGTGCTCATACAAGCCATACTGAGTCATAATTAGAACCTGCAGATCAGATCTCAGAACCCCTTAAAATAGATGTAAACCCTAAATGAATGACCTATACTATGCTAAAGCACTGTGTACCAAAAACCATTGCCATTATTTAGTTACAAAATACATGATTTCATCCTTTGTTGCAGCTCAGTGCTGATGATCTCCTGAAGCCTCTTTGCAGCTACTTGCAGTTTACATGCTCTCAAGTAATGGCTGCAAGGCATTTCTCATGGTGGGTTTCATGATGGTGTCAATGGACCATGCCTGCGTAATGTGCATTGAAACTGGAAACTGCCACTTGTAGTCAACGTCGGTAGCTCTTGTGACAGGGTGAGAAGGCAGTAGCACAGTTGGAAGACAAGGACAGGGCATTGCCATTTTATAACAGGAAGTCCCTGAACAAGAACCCTCATGGCAGGATCACAGGTATAATTTGTATAAAAGCTGCAGATTTCAAAGCATTTAAAATGACTTCTGAAAGAACATTCACGGGTTAAAATGTATAAATGATTTTACTTATTGGGTTTACTTCTACTTTAAAGTGAATTGGTCATTACGGAATTATGGACCAGGTCATTGCAGCCTTGCTTCTGTTAATGCCAACTGCCCCAGCTATCATTAAACTGTCAAAGCCACTGTGACCCACAACATATAGATCAGCAAATTCAGACGATGGACAGAAGGGCGGATCTACACATTTGCTCTGGGTCAACAATAGTACAGAAGCTAGAAGGTTAGCTTAATAGCCAGGTCAGTAGCATTTGAGGTCAGCAAAGGCCGCTTTTCTTGTCATGCAAGGTTTCCACTAGTGACCAAAAGGCACCAACTAATGTTTGAAATTGACAGTGCACCTCCACACTTGGAAGCAGATCTATGCCCCCCATTTCAAGAAACAACATGTGTGTACCCAAAGAAACTAAAAAAAGCACAAAATCAGATTTGATTGAATTTCTTGAACAAAGCTTAAAGAGCATCACTAGTGGTAAGGGGGGCAAACTGCTACAGCTATGATGTGTGGGCGCCTAGATGGCAAAAGGCACATAGGCAGTCAGCCCAGTAAGGGGAAGACTGGTAAAAGTGCAGGTTCAGCATCACCGAGTATACCTTGCTGCCCAACCACTGACTTGTCACACAGGCCAGAAGCTTATTAACGCTAAGTCTATGATTTTAATCCGGCTCAGCTTCACTGAGCTGCAATGAGGACAGAGTATCTGAGTATCTGGTATTGACACTCTAGCCTCAGAGCTGCCCCCCATGCCTTCATTGGCCTAATTGGTCTCATTGGTGGCATGGTCCTTGCCCACCTCCTTGACCGTACTGTATTTACAAAGTGAAAACTTGCCAAGAGCTTTGCATGTACCTTCCATTCTCCATGTGATGATGACTGGCCAATCAGAAGCCGAGTACTCCACAGCGGGAATACCCGAGGGGGGGGGGGTCATATGATCCCCCCACACATAGAGGTACAGGGGTTTTGATGAGCTCAGTCAGTGGATTGGGAGGGGGGGATGATGCCGGGTGAGGGGTGATCAGGGCTATATAAACTCCTTGAGGTTCCTTATAAAGTAAACCTGCTACTTCCTCAAGTTCAAGCTCAGTACAGGTCCGCTACCATTATTTGGAAGAACCAAGTCCACCCTGCTTTTCCTGCCCTCCTAGGTCACTGCATTAGGTTTATTTCTATACTGCTCAATCCCTTTAGAAGAGCAGCAGATACATTATGCACAGTAAAGTTCTAAACCTTTATCTGGATTCAGCAGGCCCTGAAAATTATCCATCGATGTGACTTTACCTTTATTCCTATGCTTTTCCTATCGGAGAAGCTACAGATGCTGCCGTCATCATCACTGTCCCCTGGCAGGTCCAGGTCCTCCGACCTCCTATTGGCTCTCAGCTCCTGCCTCTGGATGTACTTTGCGATCTCCTAATGTAAGACAAACAAGAGAATTACTGTGATAAGTCTCACATATCTAATCAGAATGCAGCTAATATGCCCACAATAAACATCAGCTTCAATTAAAGATGCATCTGTACTTACCGGTTTCCCTTAGTTGCCCTGCAAAATCCTACAAATACTATTAAAAGGTCAACTAATGCAGCTTCCTGTGATGGGTGGATGAAGCTCCTGCGCTACTTTTGAATTCAAAGCAGTGTTGTGCCTGCTTGCACTACATTGGGACGAGAAGATGTTGCAGGGGGGTGCGGCTATCGGCATTGTCACTGCTGATTTCATAAGCCTGCAGCTTTTAAATTAGCATCTGGCCACACCCATACCGGCCAACTGCTCTCTGGATTGGAAAAACTGACTGTGCTGCAGGAACCCTCCCACTGTGAGCTGCAGTGTCTGGGAGGGGGAGCATGCGAGACACAAACGAAGAAAGATTTGTATAAATCAAGGGAAGTACATTTTTTTTTTAATTGATAAGGCTCTTGCATCAGATCGTAACTGACTGCCACACAGCAGCCTTTAGATGTACGTTAACTCTTTTCATTATAGGCAGTTTATCTAGCTACAGAGTTGCTAATAAATACTGTAATAAACACAAACACAGCAATGTTGACTCTTTTAACCTCAAATGTTTTTTTGGTTTCAAACAACCACATGATAAAAACTTACTTTTAATCACTTTGTTGATGAAAGCCACCAAATTACAGGGAATTAGCCTAGTGTATAGCATGCATAATGCCTCGCTCTGCGATTTTCAGGCAATTTCAATTGCTATGAGCCGACATGCGATTGAAAATACAAGCCAGTGGAGGAATATGTGCCAATCTGTGCGGTGACATAGGAAGGTTGGAGGTGAGGAAACTAAGGAGGGGATAGGGAGAGAAACTACAGTTTGTGGCCCTGGGATACCACCTTCTGCACTCAAGCGTCGGAGATGCAAGTTGTCAAAGCATCCACAAAGGTTACATAGTTAGTCAGGTTGAAAAAAGACACAAGTCCATCGAGTTCAACCTTTAGGTTAATAAATGTCCTTCCACTCTGGAAAGTGGAGATGCTCCTACAAGCAGAAGAAGGCTTGTCTGAGAATTTTGTCAGAATCTGTCCGAGAATTTTGCAGACATTGCGGGCAGACTAGGAACCAAGTTTCAGGGTCTCAATGAGGAAGTCAAAGGGGTGGGAAATTAAAGGAACATTTCTTAATAGTCGGAAAAGGGGAAGGAATTTGCAGTCTATTTCTTAGGCTTCTTCTTCAGCTGAGGATGATGGGCCCTTGTAAAACCAGTAGCATCCTTGATATTATCAATAGTCAGTGTGAAGAGTTATCCTTCAAAGGCCGTGGGGACCAAACACTTCTTGCACATATGGGTTCTCAGTCCAGCACTTTAACCAAAGTGCTCTAAGCATGTGTACGGATATGAGACATATGTGAGGGATATAACAGGAGGCTTCCAGCAAACCATCAACAGAAATTTAAAAGGTACAGCCATCTGCTCACTGTGTACAATAAGCAAGGGTTAGATCTCTTTTGAGGGATTTCGACCAGTCAGACATGTTTTGACAGAGTAAAGTCACAGCCAGGATCAGGTTAAGAATAGGATCCACATTCTACTGGAATAGTAAGTACATTTAAGGCGGGACACTACCGGATGCATGAAGAAACAGGCCACTTCAGTAAAAAATCCTCACCAAATAGGCTTGTGGGAAAGCAATCGCTTGTCAGGATGCTTCCAAAATCGATATAGAAAGAATTGGAAAAGCGGGCGCAAAGGAAAAATCTTTGCGGCTTTTGGAGTTTTAAATGACCAAAAACTGGAAACAACACAGGTAGAAGCAGCAAGCTAATCATCTAGTTTCTAAGGTGATGCACACTGCATCATTAAGAGCCAACACAGTCTATTTGAACTTGGGACTTTGACCTCACTTGTATCCAATCAGCCATCACGCACTACATAGCTTTTGCTAGTTCTTAAGCTGGTCATACAGATTTTTTGATAGAGTCAAACTTTTAATTCCTTTTTTTTTAGGCGAAATTAGACATAAAATGCGGATTTCCATCAACTGCAAGAAAACCGGACTTAAATTGTTCAATCAAACAAGGCAGAAAAATCCAATGGACTTCCAAAAAATGCTGTCGTTTTTAGCTATCAATTTACTAAACAGCTTTAACGTCACAATCCACCAAATTCTGGTGGTCAATCAAATTTGTGGGTGGTAGATTGCTTAGTTCTGGTAATTACTTGCAATCATATTTGTGATTCCCGGCTGCAGGAAAATGGTTCAAAATGACGAAAATTGCTACATCTATGACCAGCTTCAAGAAGGTTGTCTACTCAGAGTGTGGTCACCTTAAAACACATCCATAACTAAGGCCTGAAAAATATTAGTTGTTAAACTTGTTCTTACTTCATCCTGTGCGACCTGAGCTGCACGGAAGTCCTCATGCTGGTCATGCCGTTTCAGTTTTGCCTGCAGAAGACATTCAAAATAAATGACGTTACTGACGGCAGTTTCTCAGGAAGAAGTTAGTCAGATGAAGCATGCTCACTTACTACACGTTTTTCTTCCTCTTCCTGCAATCGGCGTGCCAGTTCTTCATCCCGTAAGAGCTGGTCTGAGCTCTGGACCTGCAGTTCGGCCATTTTCCAGTGCAGGGGGTCTATGTCGAAGTTTGGCCTGGTGTCCTCACCTTGTTGCACAGAAAATATAAAAGAAGGGGTCATGTGTATTCTTAGATTGGTTTCTTATTACATACTGGTGTGAGCATAGTAATATTCAACTCAAGAGCCTGTCTGCCCTAACTAGAAGCCAGCTGAGAATTCCATTGATATTACACCTAGACTCCAGCTAAATATTTTCTGATCCATCGATCAGCTAACTCTGTTTCTATTTCTTAGAGTGTATCTAAAGTCAGAATGTGTCTTTTTGCTTTAAATAACTCTAAGAAAAAAAAAAAACTTTTACCCTTCCAGTGGGGCTACCCCTGGGCTCCGGCGGCTACTGATGGCATCACGTTTTATGCAGGTCCACTGACCTGCATTTTACTTAAGGATGCTGAGGGACATTCCTGGATGCACTCCATAGCCAGAATAGAGCAGGAGCCACTCCATAGCCAGGTGAGAGCTGACAGCCGCAGGAGTAAGGATTAGATGAGTAATACAGCTTTATTATAGCCCCCTAGGCAAAATGAGCACTTAACCCTTGCAGTCCGGGCATATCCCCACTGCAAGGGTAAGTTTTTTTTTCTTATTTAATTATTCCTGACTTTTGTTACTGTGACATCATTTTTGTGACACAAAATTCTTCTAGGGTCTGCTGCCTGAAGCTTAGTTCCTTTTGATGTAGGTATGACACCAACATTACATCTCCCGAAAGCCCTTTCCCTTGATAAAATCACAGAGAAATGTGCATGTATTGCTTTTTCCATTTTTTCCAGACATAGATTTTAAGCTTCATTGTGTCAGTTTAGCAAAATGGCCAACCTGGGGGTGGAAAGTGTATTTTGAATCAGCGTAAATGAAACCCTCACAAACGGAGAACCCCTTGTATTGGCACAAAGCCAGAGTACTTAGATGACCGCTATCTAAACAGCCTTTTTCAGACGTCACCTGGTAAAGGGAAGGTGCTTATTTGTAGAGTGTCTCCAGGGATTCACACTTTACTGAGAACCGTCATAAAGCCAATGCGAAACAAAAACAAAACATTCACCTCATCAACTCCACATGACGCCGATTGTACAAATAAACCTATCATTTGGTACTTAAATAGAATCTGAACGCTTTACTTTCTTTTCCAATAAAAGGATTTAAGCTATCAGATTGCACTGTCATTTGATGAGTTCTTTATAAAAATTCCGAGGGGATTTCTCTACCTGGCTTTGATTGCAAAAAAGTCCCTAGACTGTCAATGACAATGACTAGAATGAGCACCATTGTGAGGCAATCCCAGTATTGTTGTTATGAACAAAGGGCAAGGATTTATGGGTCATTCCAAACAAAAGTGATATATTAGCTATTATTGGGCTAAGTGAGCTCCTGTCTTCTTCTATGTTTTAGATGCTCCATTAGTGATATCGTCCAGCCTTTCTCCGGACAGTTTCTGTCCCAATAAATATCAAATGCTCTAGATGGATCTCCGCTCTCAAGGTCATCTACTTTGGCTGGGGGTTGGTATGGTTCGTCTTTGCGGGAGAGAAGTACCAAGAACGTGGAGGATTCACTGCACAACTGGACTGTGGAAACCTTTTTGGTTAGTTTTTTACATGGCACAGGATACAGCTAAACACAGAAACATCGAAGAGCACTGCATCCTGTGTTGCTTAATAAACTAGAAAATATTTCAAACAATGTTTTCCACAGTCCGGTTGTGTGGTGAATCTTTCACATTCTTTGTATTTATCTGGTCTTGCCCCCTGGGAGTTTTGTGTGTTCCCACCTACATTTGTGTAATCCAACATGGGTAGTGGGAACCCCTCATAATGATCACTAACAGAGTCTCGGATGAGTGTAGAAAATTGACAGGTGGTCTAGCTCCATTTTTTGGGCACTGTTCCTTATTTCCTTGTCAGTAAGCACAATTACTATCTAAAATAACTTTTCTACAATTTTACATCAGTACTCATTTCCTTCAATTGTAATGTATAACAGACCAAAAGGAAAACTTCTTTCAAACATGTAAAACATCAACTGAAGAAGCACAGCCTACCCGGCTAAGCAGCTGTATCTTTTACCATGGTGTATACCTTCTGCACTTGGCTACTAAAACCCTAAAGTTGCTGGTATTGGTTGAGGTAAAGTTCTTGACAATGTTAATGAAAAAGTCGATCTCTCCACTTCGTTTTTTGGCTCAGTAATGTGGCGAATCCTATTTAATTATTTTTTTTCATTATTCAGGAGATTCAGTCGCGTATAGCCATCATTTGGATCCCGTGATCCCAAGGGGTATGGAGACCCCTGTTTAAGAAGATCTAATATATAGTGTCTTTACAATAACTGGGCCACCCTAGTGATGTCCTAATTGTAATAAACCATTTGATCCTGAAAAGTGTTATTAGGTTTTGTGCAAACATATAGAAAATGTTGCAAAAAACACCACAAGAAAAAAAGCCATGAGCACACTGTTAAAATGACAATGTTAATACCACGGCACAGACATGGTTAATATGGAAACTTTGGAATATGGAATGTTTTTTTCCTGTAAGGTTTTCTTTTATTGGACATGAGCAAAGGACAAACCACTATATTTCTTAAACAAATGGTTCCCCCCTTTGTCTAAAGATTGACTTAGGGTGTTTTCATTAAAGGGGACTTTTAATGTTAAAGCATACAAAGACATTTTAGACAATTGTGCACTTCCAACATGGTGGCCACAGTTTGGGGAAGGCCCTTTTTCGTTCCAGCATGCCTGTGCCCCTATACACAAAGGGTTTATATGGTTTGATTAATTTTGGCATGGAGGAACTTGAGTGGTCTGCACAGAGCCATGACCTCAACACTATGGAACATTTTTGGAATTAATTGCAACACCAATTGCAAGCCGGGTCTTCTCGTAATGTACCTGACCTTAGTGGGCAAAAGGGGCATAAATTCAAACAGACACACTCTAAAATCTTGTGTCCAATAGCCTCAAGGGTGGGAGCGGGATGGGGGGACGGGACACAACTCCACATAATGCACATTGTTTTAGAATGGGATGTTCAACAAGCTCATGGGTGTGATGGATAGTAGTCCACAAGATTTTGGTCATATAGTGTATGACCTATATATTGTGGAGACCTTTTGGTGGTTAGAGCAACACATAAGAGGGTTCACCATAAGCTAGGCTTTTAAAGTGATTGTCAGGAGAGCATATAAGGAAACAAAACAATCCATACTATGAATGGGAATCTGATAACAAAGAAGTACAAAAAGAGACTACTTATCTGAAAGACCACATCAATTTCACATGACCTAATCTTTTACACTGGGATTAGAGAAATAGGGTCCGCCAAAATGCAGACTGCTAATAGCTATTGTGTTATTAGAACTTTCCCAAACATTGATTCCAATGTCATTTGTCAGTAAATTGAGCAGGCACAATTTGCAGCCTTCACCAACCAACCATGCTGAGTTTAAAGCTGCGTGGTTGTTCTAAATAGACCTTTAAGACGGTCTAGTTCCCAAAAACAATAACAACTTACAGGAAACTCTGTGCTATTATCATCTATTTAGTACCTGTTCTCAAATCGTGACTCGACAACCTAGACGAATGATTATTAGAAGATCGATGGTGATGGTGGTGGTGGTGGAGTTCTCGATTTTGGTTCCATTGTGAACGGCGACTTCTTTTGTCTCTAGCACAATGTTCTGGGTAGTCATCACTATCTGAGCTGGAGCGCCTACACCGATCAGAGTGGTGCTTGCAGTGTTTTTCTCGGTGGCTTCTGAGTTTCTCATCTTTGCGGACCTTATCCTTGTCGTGGGTGGGAGTTGCCTCAATGCCACTCGAATGGCATGGACTCCTCTCTGCTGAGTGTCTAGGGTTCCTATATGGAAACTGCACTTGATCCTTACGACCAGGCTCTTTCCACTGATCAGGGGTTTTGGAATTTTTTGACCCGTTGCTGTCATAGTGGACTTGACCAAAGGAGATGCGGCTAGGATTCATTCTGCTGGAGAGTTCCTCAGAACGTTTTGGAATGTGTTCCCTCTCAGAGCTTCTTGGACCTCGTATGTAATCTGAGGAGCTTGTGTATTTAGAATTATCGTTTTGGAAGGAGTAGCCTTCCTCTTCGTCATCATTGTCCAAGAATGGCAAGCCACTTTGCTCTTGTTTACACATGCAAACACAAAGTGTAGGTTAGTAAGCTTTAGACACACATCTACAACAAGTCTACAAGCAAGGAAATGCTCTTGCATAGTTTCAGATAGAACAGATCTCAACAGACAGAGACATGACAATAAGTAAATACGCATTAGCATGATGACTAGATACATTTAGCTTTGGGCACATACATGACTCAACAGACACATATTATTGGCGTGCACACCACAAACAGCTTGTGCTGAAGCTGATTAGATCCTGCTGCATGCTTGTTAAAAGCATTTTCCTTAAGTTTACCTAAAATACATATTTGGGTTAAAGCTGGATGCTGGCAGGGCCAGTTACCTACTGGCATGTTGTTTCCTTCAGGAACTCCAAACCTGAGATCTCTAGTGCTCAGCTCTGCTCATTAACACTAAATGGTGCAAAAGCTGTCAGATTCCATGGTGGGTTGTACAGTGCTAGAAAATCCAGAGGTTCACTTGACCAGCATCCACACATACCTGAAATAGCAGTTGTGGGCTCACAGATGTCCTGAACAGATGCTTGTCAGTGACATCCCATAAATGCAGTATATAATGCATATCTGTCAGGGGTTCTGTCTACAGCATACATAGAAAAGGACACATCCTATAGCACAATGTATATTACACTCCTGTCTTACCATTCACTCCTCTATACTGCCACCTCCAACCTGACTGATGAGCACCTGCAATCTGCTCTACCCTTGGAATTCCGAGTACCCAGAATTCCTCTAGACTGACTGCCCATGCTAAGCGTTTGCTTTATTTTACTTACATTTTTAATAATTACACATGTACAGAGTTTTTCTCCACAGTCACAATTTTGTTTTTGTCATCATTAAAAATTCATTATAAGCCATTATTGTTCTATTGCTAATAAATGTATTCAGCGCATTGTACATACTGCATAAGTGTCACTATCATGAGCACCATGAACGTTACAGTTTCCAAAGACCATCTAATGCAGATCAGTAAAAACGGGATGGGG